AAAAATTAATTTTGGCAAAAAAATCCAAAACAATTTTCTTTAAATGATAAATTTAATCCAAATTATTTACATGAATTTTTTTAATTTTATTATTATTATTATTAAAAATTTATTATTTTATTTTTTTTTATTTTTCGTTATTGATTTTCAATTATCCATTTAAAGGTCAAAAATTAGAATTAATGTTTGATTTACATTTCCAATAATTAAAAAAATTAACAGTTTGACACACAAAGACGAATATATTTTAATATAAATATAAATAATTTTAATAATAAATAATGGTTTGTACATTTGTTTTTTAAATTTTTGTTTTTTATTATTAAAATGATTATTGATTTTTATTATTTATTTTATAAATAAAATTATATATTGGACATTTCGGGTTCCAAATAAAAACCTAAGGCTGAAAAAAAGCACCCTGACAATTATTATTTCTTTTGATTTCAGTTGCTTATACTTATTATCTAAGGTCCCAAAAGTTGTATTTTAAAATTAAAATGGCCCCATTATAACATTTTAATCTATTATGGTAGTAGTAGTATTTCCTTTGATTTCTGTTGTATGCTGTTTTTTTCCGGGTCCCAAATAGAAATCCTACAGGTCAAAAATGGCATCAAGACATCATTATTATTTTTATTTATTTGAAATTGGCAGTTCCTGTCATTTCCTCATTTTGGTCCCAATCAGAGACCTAACAATGAAAATGATATAATGGCATTATTATTATTATTATTTCCTTTGATTTCTGGTATGTTCACATTTCGTTCTGATTCCCGCCCAGAGACCTATGTTTAGGAATGTCATCATGACATATTCCACTGAAAAAAAAAAAAAAAGAAAATATTTTACATAGATAAAACCCTTCGTAAGGTGTGGGCTGTGCCCGTGAAAACAATTTTAAAAAATTTCTTTAAGGTTAACAGGAATCCCTTCAATAAGTCTATAGGAATCTTTTCCAACCAGTCCTAGGGCTCCAACTACAACAGGGATTGTTGATGTTCCCATGTGCCACATTTTTGAGATTTCGATTTCAAGGTCCTTGTATTTTCTTTTTTTTTAAAGCTCTTCAATGTATTATTATTATTATATTTCGATATCTGCTATCGTCACACTGCCTACCAAGTCTGAGGGAAGACCTAAGGCAGGTTGTGGTGCGTTATGGCTTCATTTCATGGCTTGTTTTTCTAACTCCCATAACACGGACAAAGTTATTCACAGTGGGTGGGCTGTACTTATCAAGACAATTTTATGGAAATTTCTCTTCAGTTGTGATTTCCAGGAACTTTTTTCAATGTGTTGTTGTGTTCCTTTTTTATCATTCCAAGCGCACCTACTAGGAATGGTACTATTCTTGTTTTTAATTTCCACATTTTTTTCTATTTCGATTTCCACGTCTTTATATTTCGAGAATTTTTCAAATTATTATTATTATTATTATTATTTCCTTTGATTTCTGATTTCTGGCGTTTACACATTTCTTTCCGGGTCCCGCCATGGGACCTAAGGTTAGAAATGGCATCATGACACTTTCCACTTACCAAAAAAAAAAAAAAAAATTACATAGATAAAGCCCTTCGTAAAGTATGGGCTGTACTTGTCAGAACAATTTTTTGTATCTCTTTGAGGCATGGACTTCCAGGAATCCCTTCAATTAGTCTACTGCAATCTTTTCCAACCAGTCCTAGGGCTCCAACTACAACAGGGGTTGTTGATGTTCCCATGTGCCACATTTTTGCGATTTCGATTTCAAGGTCCTTGTATTTTTTTTTTTTTTAAAGCTCTTCAAAGTATTATTATTATTATTCGGAGGAGTAGTAGTAGTAGCAGAAGCCATAGCAGTAGTATTAATGTACCTGTGCCATTAAACATGAAGACAATTGCATTTTTTTTTAAGCGTTTCACCCCGAGCAAGGCGAGAAGCCAGAAAATTTCAAAAGTGAGATGCAATAAAAGAAAAGTCTTGAAACAATGTAATATGATTCCAAAAAGGCGGAGATAAAGAATTCACAAATGGAGGCCAATGAACCGTTTAATTAATCCGTTCTTGTCATGACTTTTAGACGCTCAACCTTATCTATGGTTCATTGATTACTCCAGGCATAATATAAATCGTTTTTCCTCAGTATCTTTTCATGTAAAAAAAAAAAAACTAAATAAAATTATGCGTTTAATATAAATGAAATGAAAAAAATCTCTCTGAAGAAAAATAAAGAACATTAGCAACAGAACGACAAAGGCGGCGACGAGAACGCCTATTTCAAGACCAAGATGAAGCAAAACGATCGCTTAATAAGCAAAAGTTATCTGAGTGCCTCACATGAAAGGCTTGAACAAGTAAGACTGCAATATAAGAAACGTTGTAATAGCGGAACTGATTAATTAAACTAATTAATTAAATTAATTAATTAAATGATTTTGCTCAGGAACTAATTTTGTCTAAACGCAAATAAATCATTTGTATATATCAGGGGTTCTCACCCGGGGTCCACATAGCCCCTAGTGAGCCCTTGTAATATTTCTGGAGGTTCACAGGTAAAATATAACAAATTGGAGGTACCCAATATTTTGCTGGTCCATAAAGAAAGCCAACTCAGTTTTTATTATTAAAAATTACATTTCTACTGTAAATTACACTATATGGAGTAATGGATAGCGGCTTGGATTGAGGAATAGCAGAGCCGAGTTCGAATTCCAGTCGAATCCATTACATTCACTTACGTGCTAATACCCTTGGGAAAGGTATGAATTCTCTTCCTCTCCCTCCAGCTATGGGTAAAATAGCAGAATGGGTTTTGTAGCCTTGGATGGCAACTGGTCTAGGAGAAGGACAACTCTGAATTCCAAACCTGCGGAGTGTCGTTTGGGAACCTTGTGGCATTCGGTGCACAAGGTCTCTGTATTCGTCCCTTCAAAAAGTGTGGATGGTCCTGCACGAGGCCTTCACTATAATCAAATAATCAAAACATCGGGCTGTCGGACCTGAAAGTCGATAGGGATCGAATTTCGATCGGAAATTTACATATATATATATATGAATTATTCTTTCTTTATTTCTTTTATATAGGTACCTCCAGTGAATTTTCGATACCTTTGAAATTAATTCCTACGTTATTGTTTTTCCGACATCTTGTTGAATCGGGATTTAATCGTGTTTCTCAACTGTTATCAAAAGTTGGCAGTAGACATGACATTGCGAAAAGACGTGATCTTCGACTATCATTAACATCGATGGAACCAGATATCAAGAAACTCGCTGATCAGTATCAATCACAGGGAACTCATTAAATAAATATGCCTTTCTTTTCTTTTTTTTCTAATCACACACTTAACTTAAATTGGTTTATTAAAATTTTTTAACCAGTGTGCATAAATGATGTAATGAATATGCATACACCTGGGTTCCAGCTCTCAATATGATTGGCTGGTGTCAGCCATAAATACAGATTGATGTGGAGGTACAGGACGACGCCTATTGACTACACCTATTGTCTTCGCCTATTGCCTACCAATACGACGAGGACCAGTCCATTACAGTTACCTGCTGGGTTGTCCTGCTCAGTTACAGTAGTCCAAAATTACTTTGCTACTTCAAACAAATATATCCCTTTCCGGGACATATCAATAAATAAATGCTGCAGTGAATTCAATTGCCTGAAGAGCTCAGCTCCCCATGCACTTGACCATGAAAGAAACATTCTAATATTGTAATACGAGCTATTGGTCAATAAAATTATTTGTTGAGGGGTCCACCCCTTTTTATACAAATGAACTCATCCAGTATATACATATACTACTGCAAGAGCGAGACGAGAGTATGAGACGAGAGCAAGACTGAAGTGTCGAGTCGAGTCGAGTCCAGAGTGACAGAGTAAAAGGTTGTAGGTAACCGGAAGAGTGAGGGGTGAGGTAACGGCGTTGTAGGAGTCACAGTGAGCGAGCACGTAGACTCAGTAAGAAGTCATACAGCGATACTTCAATACCAAAGACTATATATATATTTTATATATATATATATATATATAACCCGTATTCCTGGAACTACTAACCTGCTTTACCAATTTGTATTCTTACGTTAATACATTATTTTTATATATTCATTCCTGGAGTTTGTTATTTATTGGTACCGGATTTCAACTCGGAATCCACAACATTATTATTATTATTGTTGTAGAATAATTTATTTGCATTAAATTAGTTTTCATTTAAAAATGAAGTTTAATTATGTAATATTTCTTTGATTATTAAAACCTCAATATTTTTATTAATGAAAAATAGAATATTGTTGTCTTATGTCAAATAGGTATTAAGGGGTCCACCAAGAAAAAAACAAAAAAAAAACAAAAAAAAACAAGGGAAAAGTGGCCTCTGGGTTAAAAAAAAAAAAAAAGGTTGGGACCACTGGTATGGATTATTAAAACGACAAAGGGAAGTGTTCACTTATGAATTTCTTAAGTTGATTTACCTCCTTTTCTTCTATAAATGGGACATTAAATAGATAAATAAATAAATGAATGCAGACTGATAATTATAATATGGGTCGATTAATCGTATAAAAATTCATTCAGCTTCTTTATTTTTCTTCTTCATTTTGCTTTTTAGCCTTTCCTTCGATCCGCTTATATTTCTCCTCCTACACTTCATCCTCCTCTTCCTCCTACTCCTACTCCTCCTATTTCTTCCTCTTCTCCCCCTCCTGTCCTCCCCATGCCCTTTTACCTTCTCACAACTGTGCTAAATCACATGATCGTCCCAAAAACCTCTGCCCCCCCCCACCACCACACACACGCTTCGAACTGAACACCTCACTTTAGTTTGCCCAATCGTTCTTCGGTCACCGTTCTAACCGATAATCGTATCTTGTAAAAATCAACCTTTTATTAGCAGATAATGTTTCTCCCCTCCCCCATCGTCCTGACACTTTTTTCAGTTTCTGAAATTATTTTAATTTCCCAAAACCCCCCAGAGCCAACGACACGCCATTTTTTGGCAATCTGCAGGCACCGCCCACTCCAACTTCTTCAGTTCCTTTGTTAGTTTTCTTTTGGTGAGCGTTCTTTCTTTCCTTTTGCGTTTTTGCCTGGGGCCCTGTCAATTATTCCCTGCGTGGAAGTTGTATCTAAGAGTACAGAGGCATTGACGCCAGTGTGTGTGTGTGTTGTGTGTGTGTGTGTGTGTGTGTGTGTGTGTGTGTGAGTGACGGTATCCGGTTTTCTTTGAGTGCCTGAAAGAATTCGATACGTGATGGGGCCCGATCGATTTATATATTCATTACCGAATTCGGGGCATAATTTTTTTAAAGTAACTGCAAGAAGTTTTACACGCATATTTCTAAACTTTCTTTCTTTCTTTCTTTCTTTCTTTCTTTTCTTTTCTTTTCTTTTCATTCTTTCTTTTTGATTTTTTTATTTTGGTTCAATGAACAAACGTCATTTCTTTCTTTTTATCGTATTTTCTCGTTCTGTGCATTTTCTTTCTTTCATTCTTTCTTTTTTTCTTTTTCTTTCTTTCTTTCTTTCGTAATTTAATCTATATCTGTCTTTTTTGTATCTTTCTTTTTCTTTCTTTCTTTCTTTCTTTCTTTCTTTCTTTCTTTTTTTTTCCTTTCTTACTTTCTTTCTTTCTTCCTTTCTTAGAGAAAAAAATTTAATTTTCTTTCTTTTTTTTCATTTCAAAAAAAATTTAATCTTTCTTCTTTTTTTTTTTTTTGTTTTTCATTTCTTTTTTCTTTCTTTCTTTATAGATTTTTTTTTTTCTTTCTTTCTTTAATGAATTTAAAGCCAATTTTCTTTTTTCTTTAATTTTTTTTCTTTCTTTCTTTTCTTTCTTTTAAATTTAATATATTGAGTCTTTTTTTTCTTTCATTTCTTGAACATAATTTTTTATAGGAAACGTTTAATATATGTTTTTTTTCTAATAAAGAACAAATTTCTTTCTTTCTTTCTTTCTTTCTTTATTAATTTTTTTATATCTTTCTTTTCTATCTTTCTTTTCTTTCTTTCTTTATTTTTCTTTCTTTTTTTTCTTTTAGTTTCTAAGATTGATAGACAATCTTTCTTTTCTGTTTCTTCCTTTCTTTTTGGTTTTTTTTCTTTTTTCTTAAATTTATTTTCAATTTTTTTTTTTTTTTTTTTTTTTCTAACAATTTTCTTTCTTTTTTCGTTAATATCTATTTCTTTTTTTTTTGTATCTTTCATTTCTTTTTTATCTTATTTTTTTTTCTTTGGTTTTCGTTTTTTTCTTTCGTTTTCTTTCTTTCTTTCTTTCTTCATTTTTCTTTTTTCTGCCCTTCGTTGTTTCTTATTTTAATTTTCGACATTTCATTTATATTCATTTCTATTATAAAACCTAAATTTTTGAATATGAAAATTTTTTCAAACACATTTTGATTTGGATTTTATATTTTCTCTTTTTTTTATTGACTTTTCTACTTTTTCCTGCTTTCTTCAATTCACTGTTTTTTTAATATATATTTTTCTTTTCCAGATGTTCCTTCCTTTTTTTATTTCTAACTATCTACAGATCAGGCTCTCTCTATAAAATATCTTTTATCTATCTTATCTTATCTATTCATTCATTCATCTTTCTATCTATTTATCTAATTTTCTCAGACTTTAATATCGTTTTTTTTATCTATCTATTTTCACAATCTTGTTCTTTTATTTCAAAAATTTTCATTTCTTTTTTACAAAAAAATCTCTCGAAATATTATCTGTTTCTTATCTTTTAATTTTCTAACATAGACTGTTCATTTATATATATATATAAATATAACTTCTATATCTAGATTATCTCAAACTTATCTATTTCATATCTTTCTATCTATTTCATCTATCTATCTATCTTTTGTTTTTGTTTTTTGATTTTCAATTGAATTTATTTTTTTATTTTCTATTTTCTATCTTTCTACTTTTTCTAAATTTTTTTTATCTTTCTTCTATTTCTTCATATCTATCCCTCTACTTAAATTTCTACTGTTAAAATTCTATCTTTATTATATCTATTTATTTATTGATATCTCAACATCTTTTTAATCTATTCTATTATCTTGTTTTCCTTCATCTTCTATCTATATTTTATCTATCTATCTAAATCTAAAAGACTGTTCATATCATCTATCTATTTATCTATCTATCTATCTATCTATAATCTATCTTGTTCATATTAATCTATCTATCTATCTCTATCTATATCTTCAGACTGTTCATTTCTATCTATCTATCTATCTATCTATCTATTAATATCCAGACTGTTCATATTATCTTTCTCTATCTATCTATCTATCTATCTATCTATCTAAGACAGATCTAAAACCACTATTATTCAATTCTATTAGATAATATTAATCTAAAATTATTATCCCCATTATCTCAACTGGATGACAAAAATCTATATATGAATCTTCTAAAGACAGATTATCTATTTTCAATCTACTATTGGCATTTATCTTCTATCATTAAAAATATCTATCTATCTAAATCAAAAATATCTATTTTATATTTAGGATATTTATATATCTATCTAAATCTATTATCTATCTATCTATTCATATTCATATATATATATATATATATATATATATACTATATAAAAATCTATTATCTAAATTCAAACTGTAATAAATCTATTATTTATTATCTATCTATCTATTATCTATTTATCTATTTATATATATCTATATTAATCTATTATTCAATCTATCTATCTCTTTTTCTTTTGAACACAACTGAAAAAATACAGATTAAAAAAAACATTTTTTCCCAAGAAATTAGTTCAGACATTTTTAAAAAAAATTTTAGATTTTAATCGTTCATATTAAATAAATTTAAATTATAATACGAATAAAATATATATATTATTATATATATATATATATATATATATATATATATATATATATAAAATATATATTTATAAAATATATTTATGTATTTATATATATTTTGAAATTTCAATTGTCCTCAAAATATCAGAAATAACTGTTTCTACAAATAAATTAACTTATTATATGTGATTTTCATTATGCTATAATATATATATATATATATATATATTTATATTATATATATATTTATTTTTAACTTGGTTATTCTTTAAATATTCCTTAAAGACTTCAGTCGCATTTTTAAATTTTTTTAAATATTTGAAACAGTTATGGGATATAAAAAAATGTCACACATACAGACACATACGCATATATATATATATATATATATATATATATATATATATAAGAAATGGACATATTTATTTAAATTAAAAACATATTTTATGTTTAACGTTGTTATTTATATATATATTTAAAGCAAATGCTCTGTTTCTGATAAACAGTATTAAATAACATTTAATTGTTTGAATGTCGAGAAATTTTATCTAAAATAAATATCAAGAAAAAAAATCTGAAAATTTCTCAGACATTTATGTTTTTTGGAAATACTTTTATCATTCAAAATTGTTATTATACTCTTATATTGAAGAACAAAACATATATATATAAGATATATATATATATATATTTATGTTATGTCTATACAAAATGTATATATATATATATATATATATATATGTATGTGTGTATATAAAATATATATATATATATATATATATGTCTATACAAAAATATATATATATATATATATATATATATATATATATATATAATTTTTAATTGGATCCATATATATATATATATGTGTGTGTAAATTTCAGAGGCTTAAAATTTCAATATAAAATCTTAAGAATATGATATAAAATGCTGAAACATTAATATTACTTGGTTATAATTTATTACATTGGGATCCTAATTTTGAAGTCAATTCATCAGATTTTACATATATATATATATATATATATATATATATATATATATATATATATATATATATAAAACATAATATTTTATTCAAGCTAAATAATTTAGATTTATTATGTCAAGCTACTTATACGCATCCACAGATATTTTCACGGAAAAACATGGCCTCAAAATTTAGATTTAAATTTTTTTAAAAAAAAAAAAAAAAATATTTAACCTGAAAATTTAATTTTTTTTTTTGATCAATTTTATACACTGAGAAGATGATTAATTCGTGGACTTGAAAGGATTAAAACTAAACGTCTATATATATATATTAAATAATTTTTGTTAAAAAAAAATTTAAGGATAGCTAGGAATAAGCATAATTCACATTATTTACATTACTCGGACTATTGTCCTCATCTTTGTCGCCATATTTATTACAACGTTTCGGCCGTTGTACGCTCCGGCCTTCTTCAGGTGGTTGGAATGTCGAACGAAAACCTTTATTTTGCTTACTGGGGTAGACTGTTCTAGTTCCACGTGCCATGTTTAATGGATGTCAGTTATCAGTTATCTCCCGTTAATTTCCCGAAACGCCGTAATAAATATGGCAACAAAGATGAACACAATAGTCCGATAAAAGTAAATAATGTACATAATACCTCATCTCAGAAATATAGACAGATATAAGCATAATTTATATGGCATTTTAATGTATATTTTAAAATCTAAAAAAAAAACAACCAGTTTCGTACCAACCTTAACAAGTTTATTTGAATCCGGATGCTAGGAAAAATCAACTAATTAATACTTCTGGCTCTTCAGTTGCAGGTAATTTTTTAAATAGTAGGAGTTGTGTCTTTGATTTTAGGGTAGACCGTTTTTCGATTTTATCGAGGTCCCACTTTTCATCTCACCTCAAGGTTCTAGAGTCCTTGTATATCAGATCCCGTCGGCCTTCCCTCTGTAAACATTCTTAGATATATATATTGCGAACTTAAAAAAGATGCAGCAAGGGCAAACTATCATTGTTGTTGTTTCGTCCGTGTGTTGTTTGATTTATTGAAATTTTCAAATTTTTTAGCCATATTTATTGACGATAAATAATAAAAGGTAAATATATATATATATATATATATATATATATATATATATATATATAAGGAATAGATAAGATAAAAATATAAATACATTCATAAATACTTGCAAGTAAGTAATTATATATAATATAAATATTTATTATTAAGAATGGGGAAGTCTGAGCTGTTGCATTAGAAATCTCAAATGACCTTGACAGGGTCTAGCATACACTGAATTAAAAACCTGAGAGGAATGGTTTATTATATTATATAAATATTACTACGTATCTATCTATCTATCTATCTATCTATCTATCTATCTATATATATATATATATATATATATATATATATATATATATATATACAAATATAGATAACTATACCCGTTTCGAAAAACCTCGAGTTTTAAATTTGCCAATAATCAAATCAATCTCGAAGAAAAAAAGGTTTTAAAAAAAAATGAAAACATGTCTGTCGTAAAAAAAAATCGCACAGATACAGGTTTGAAGCCCAAAGAAAAAAACCCGATACGAGTAAACAACTAACTAACAAAAGAGCTCAATACAACCGTAGACCAGACCTAGATAAACCTAGTGAGCCAGACAAACCTACCTTTTTTCACCTAAGAGGATCGTCAGGGAAAACCGACTTTTTGATGATCCGTTTAAATAAATTTAGAAAATGGTTTTATTTAAGTCTGAAATTTTACTGGTTGTGATTTCTCAATGTCTATGCCATTGTCAAATGGATGTATGTATATATGTATATATCGATATCTATGTGTATGTAGAATGTATTATTATTTATCTGTGTGTGTATAAGTGTTAGTTTCCACGTCTCCTTTTTCATTAAAGGGCTGTAGAGATGTTCATGTATTCCCCACCTCTCCTTTTTTTTGGTGTGTGTAAATGTTTGTAAATTGTGTGTGTGTGTGTGTGTGTGTGTGTGTGTGTGTATATGTGTGTATATCTAATTATGTCTGGATGCTTATGTATTATAATCTGATTGTGTTTTTGTTGTGTCACACGTGAGTTTAAGACCATATTCACAAACTTTAAAAATAAAAACGGAAAAGAAGGAAAAAGAGAAAATATATATACATTAAAAATATATATATCAAATGACCGGATGTATTGTAGCGTCTGGTCTTCTCGAACGTAATTTCAATGAAGAAATGAATTGAATAAAAATATATATATTTTTATTTTATCAATAATTTTGTAGAAAAATTTATATATTAAATGTTATAAATGACGGTTCCGTATAGGATTAGGTTAGAAAATCCTGTCAAAAGGACGAAAATATTTTCTAATATATAAATTTCGGACATTCAGGCCGGTAAATGTTATTTAATTGTTTATTATAAACAGAGCATTTACTTAAAACTTGTATCTAAAAAAAAGAACGTTAAACATAAAAATATCAATTTTATATATATATATATATATATATATATATATATATATATATATATATATTATATAATATATATATATATATATATTATTTTATAAATCATTATTCAAACGTATATAAATATAACAGACAAAAAATGGTTCTTTTAATTTGAGAAAATATGAATCAAATTTGTTTTCCAATATTTAGATATTTTTTGTTATTTTTCTGTTCCTTGATCGAAGCTTTTGGATTTTTATGAAATATTTGATTTTGGTTATATAATACATTTAAAATTTGTTTATTTTTTTGTCTTTATTCAAAATTGAAATTAAAGCAACCATTCGAAATTTCAATAATCTATTTTCAAACACCATAGACCTTTTTACCTTTTATATTTAACAATATATCAATTATATATATATATATATATGTGTGTAAAATGCAGCTTTTAAACATTAATGAATATTTTAAATAGTCATGGTATGACGGATGATTTTTTGTAAGATCAACAAAGAATTAAAAACATTCTAAAAAAATTTATTTTTCCAGGTTGAAATGGAATTATATATATATTTATATATATATATATATATATATATATAATATATTTCTGCATATATTATTAAAAAAAATAAAACAATAAAAAAATGTTTGAAGTTTTTGTTAAAATTGATTTAAATCAAATATGCATTTATACATAGCAACAAAATCCCTTTATATTTATATACTATATATATATATATATATAACGATATATATTTTTATATATGAAAGAACAGGAAAATTTGTATGACAAAGATTAAAATGTTTACTGTAACGTTTTTAAGGACATAAAAAAATAATGATTTTATAATTTAAAAAATTTTTAAAAAATCAAATGTTAAAGTTAAAATTTTTAATGCACTATAAGAATAAATATATATATATATATATATATATATATATATATATATATATATATATATTTGTTTTTGTGTGTATGTGTGTGTGTGTGTGTGTGTGTGTGTGTTTCATTGTGTCGTC